TTAGCCTGGAAAAAGCAAATAGTTCCTGGCACGCGCTGCGGCCCGTTGACGACCGCCCTAATCAACTGCCCGGATGACGAGGTTAAGTGGCGTCACGAAAACGTATGAGGTGAAGTGTTTCTTTCTGCTGTTGTTTTAGGCGTCGGACGAGAAGCGAGGTGAGCAGGCAGTGAGGACGAGGGAACACATACATAAAAGGGACAAGAGAATGGAATGACTGGCGAGACAATAGACACTGCCTGGCCCAATAGTAGCAGTCCCACACAGTTATGAACACTCTGGGTGGTGCTGTAGAATAGTGGGGCAGGCTGCCACGGCAAGTAATGTCCTCAGTGTCTTATTCACTCTTCTTCAAACAGCGAAACTATCACGTTAGAGCTGAATGTTAAGCATGATTTTAAGAATAACTCTGACATACCTCGGCGGTAATGGCGTTGACGATTTGAGAGACATACTGGCTCATCGATTTCGTTGTTCTGAGTACTACGACAAGCGTTTTGTAATCAGTAAGATATTGACCAACATCGCTCGAGCATGTCACTTAAAGTAAAATAAATAGAAATCAGCTATGCAAGCAGCCTGGTGATTTCTTCAAAGGCGGTGGGCACGATGGCTGGAGGCAGGCGGTTACTGCCGACGTCATTGGTGGAAGGGCTGAGTGGGGTGTGGCCAAACGCCCTCTCGCAGCCCTTCCACCAATGACACTGGATGTGAACGCCCGCCCCTAACAACCGTGCCCACTGCCGTTAACGAATAGGGGCAAGTGAGATTCCCAAGTAACTGGTAAAATAACGAAGATCACAAATTGGGTGAAGGTCAATGGAGGGATTTAAGCCCGCAGTTCACCATTCGTCTATGCCCTTTCGCCGAGGTACTCATCGAGCGATGGCATTTCCCAAGTCCTTTCCTCACACGTCACTATTCCGGCGGGAGGACGCAGATGAAGAGCAATTGGGTGTAATCAGGATCGCTGCTGACTGCCCTCCCCCTTCTTCAATTATCTTATAACCGTTGTTAGCGCCAAAGTGGAACACCGCCAAATCTCTCACAAGACAATTGTCGGGCTTAACAAAGTACTCAGTACAAAAGTAGACTTATTGTGGAGAGAGCACGCGCAAAATCAGCCTCTGACTGGATTTAGCTGGAAAGTGTCTGATCAGAACCGTATGTACACGTCATGCAGTACAATGCATAATATCAGCGCTAAATGTTGTACAGAACAAAAGTAAACTTGCAAAACATCTCTCTAAGGGGCCTATACTTGGCCTTGCCTATTGGTGAGAGAAATTTCAGATTCAGTGTACTTGACTCAGATTTTTTTTTAAAAACGTACGAAAACTTCGTTGGCAAGAGATGCATGGGTGCTCATTCTAACGCATGGGGAGCCATTTACAGACGCACTTGAAAACGGGTGCTTCCAGCGCCTGTGATTGGCCGGTCATTGACGGCTGACGGACCGCCCATAGCCTTTGTTTACATGCATTCAAACTGGTTTAGGTGCCGTTGGTCTGCGCGTGATCGAGATTATTTGTTTCTTTTGTCAATCGCCCTCTGTTGGTAGTTACTTACCGATTTCACAGTTGGTTCCTTGGAAACCTGGAGGACACTGGCACTGCAAATTTCCTGGTAATGGTGTACCGCCATTCATACAGTTCACCTAAACAGTCCAAAATAATTGGTATAGGTTAGGAGGCTGTCTAAGGCTTACCAAATTGCACTCCCTTCCGTGGAACAGCTCAGGACAGAAGCATGTCGAGTTAACGGTACCCTGATAGAGTGGACTGCCGCCGTTTGCGCAATTGACACTTGTCGATGGTGTCGTTGGTGGTGCTGCGGTTGTTGGTATTTGGTTCTGAAGAACTGATTCACAAAGATTTACAAAGAGGTACATTTACAGAGTGATTTACAATGAAGAGTGATTTTCTCCCAGAAGTGAAATGCTCCCTTCACGAATTATCAGAAAAAAGTAAAATGGAATCCACATTAGAAGTAAGAGGCAATTTTTTCGGCGTGATAAATAGGATCGCCTGACCCTAACTCTATTTTGAGTACTGCCAGGGTTTGTACAAGTATTGTTCCTATACCTTCTTAATCCATGTTGGAATAATAAAGACCGCATTCACCACCCACTACTCAACGCCCA